TGGGACTATATGGGACAGTTTCCATTAATTTAATACCCTACAGTGGTTAAAGACACACAGCAGAGCCCAGAGGGACCAAAGGGAGCAGTGGACGATTTATTGCAAGAGGGCTAAAGGAAGGAAACCGACCTCTTAGTGACAAAAACATTGCAGCTGCAGGTGCAATTTTGTCAGGTATGGGTAACCTGCATGACAATACAGTTGCAGTTGGTTGCTCTTTTTTTGCAAGTTTAAATAAGAATCACAGAAATATCAGTACTGGGTGGACTAGATTTAACTTAAGGAGCCCAGGAATGTAGAAATGATCAAAACAATTAACTAAGTATCTACTGGCAAGTTTTCCTCTCTGATGTTTAAAATTGCATGATGAGCCATTTGTTTTGTTTCCATTTGTTCTTTCTGTGACTTAAATTGTATGGAGGAGTACAAATTAGGAAATAATGAAGACTAACATATTTGCAAAACATTGTCTCAATCTCCATAAAAATCACCCCTGAAAGAACATAATAAACACAATAAACACAATAAAATTGCCAATATATGGCATTAGAATCTGTTTATGAACAATGACAAGGAATAAAACACTACAGTTCATTGTTGTTTACAGGTTTGTCTCAGTAATTTAGCTCCAGTTCTTTTTCAACTGTGCTGTCTTTCCCTGTATAATATACAGTGTTTTTTGACTGATGCTTTTACAATTAATTAAAAAACATCACAAAACATAAATATTGTCATAACTTGGTCTCCACTCTCTTTTCCTCTAAGGAGGATTTCCCACAGACAGTGATGGCTTTAAACTCCTCAGAGATCTCCAACAGGGTCTTCCCTTTGGTCTCAGGCAGGAGGAAGAAGGTATACAGACAACCCAGCAGGCACACACAGGCGAACAGCACAAAGCAGTATGAGTTCAGGGCATTCTGGGACAGAGAAATAATCAGAATGAGCTTTATGTTTAGGTTTTTGTCTTTCGGTACACTAAAACACAATTTTTTAATGATATTTAAATAAAATACTCACAATAAGGAATGGAAAGACCAGGCCCAGCACAGCGAACATCAACCAGCGCTGGATCCCCATGAGGACAAATGCTGCCATTCGATCGGACTGGACGAAGATCTCGCTGTTGAGAGCGGCTGTAGCTCCCGCTGACGGCACAGCAGGGGATTCAGTTAATTATCTTTGCATAGAGACACGTTTTCTATGTTAACCAGTGTTTAATGTGCTGAATTTCCTTTTTTTCCTTCCAACACTAAGCTGAGTAAGGCACATACCAGGTCCTCCACAGAAGAAGATGATGAAGGAGATGATTAAACTGGCAGCAATGTATGGAACCCAATAGCTGGAATCCTGCATGAAAACCAATTTGTGAGTTGATTTAGAACATTTTGCCTATATGTGAATGGGTCAGTTTCTGATTTGTTGGCAGCGTATTTTCATATATATAGTGGCGTCAACCTCATCTGCTGAGGTTTTGAGATATCTGTTTTTTGAGGTTTCTGCTTTTACCCCAAAACAGTGGAGGTCAATGGAATTTAATTTGTGGTGTTCACTGGGAATATTACTGGTAGAAAGTTCCAGTCAAAACTGTGTGTGGATTATCAATAGTAGCTGGGACATTGTTTCAAGCTGTTAGGTTTATGTTTTTTTTTAGTTTCTATTCACTTCCTTAGTGTCTGGTTAGAGGCAGAATTCTCAGAGACAGATGTCTAAAACCTGTGCAAATAATAGAAACAGTCTGCATAGCGTGTCTACTAGGGGTACAGAAAATGTTTTGCAACTTGGGTGAACTGATCTTTTAAAATACACACTGTAATCTTCAGGCTACACCTGTGTCAGTATTCAAAGCTAATAGGTTTACCGTCAGGTTGAGCGTCACAGTGAACAATACCCAGCTGGCTGACATGACAGCATAACCCACCCAGAACAACGGCCTCCTCCCTGTGCGCTCAATCAGCAGTCCCTGAAAAAGAGAATGACAAATATATATATATATATACATACGGTATGTGTAATATGAGTGTTTTAAAGTGTTTGTGTTCTTAAACCCAACAATAATGTTTTGCAGAACACAGCTCAGTCAGCAACAGGGTTGACTTTTGACATCCAGGCTCTGACCTTGTGGCAGCAGAGAGTGGGGAGTGACGATAACTTTCCTCCAAGGTGAAAGTAATGCTATATGAACAGCAGCAGTAGCCGCAAGTTACAGCATCGCTTTGAGGTAAGTTTGACAGCAGGTAGGACACCACCACCACCACCACCGTGTGCTTGATATGCAGTAAGTGGTAGTGAGAAAAGTGTGCTGTGTGAGTGCAGCAGAATTAACTTGTAGGCTATGCTGCATTTGCAACAGTCATGACTCTTTATTCTGAATTTCTACCATACGTCAGTGTGTATCTGGTGGGAAATGAAGAGGAAACTGGTGGCAGATGCTGAACTGAACAACAAAAAAGTATCTCACAGTCTGTCCATTAACACTGCGGGAGGTAAAGTAGAAACATCAACATTACTTACACAGGAGATGGAGGTGATGATTTCAGATACTCCAAGTCCAACCGTGATATAGCGGATCTTGTCTCTTGGTATACCTGCCTCGAGGAAGATGTCAAAAGAGAAGGTGCTGATCTGGGAAGGAGACAAGCTTCGATTTTGAGAGGGTGCAATCTGCATTGCTTAGGTGCCAATATTAGCATGAAATAAGGCATTTCCATTCTCACAGCAGACATGCCCGACAACTGGTTGCAGCAGTAGATTGTGGACATGGTGATGAGCTGCCATCGAACAGTTCCGTCCCTTATGAGCTGCAGAGGGCTTTTTGGTGGGGCTGACTCGATGGCCGCCTGCTCAGCCAACATCTCATCCATCTCCTCTTTGTAGTCGCCTTGGCCCCACAGACTCTGGAGAGCTAGGAGCAGAGACACAGACACAAAAAAATGGAGAAATGTGCTCCTTTGTTTTCATACAAAACATTAAAAATAGATATATTATGTGTTTGAATGGGTGTTTCTTGTGCAAGGAGATAAAAATGCTATTTGAACCAATATGTATGGGTACCACAACCTACATTGTTACACAATATATACCTTAACTTTAATTGTCTCTTCAAATTTGACCAAGATCTTTAGCACTTTTTGAAATAAATTTTGTTTGGATTTTTTGTTCATTATCAATATTATCTGGTGAAAAGGGTGTATTTTTTGGTGTGTTTAATACACTGTAACAGGCTGTTTGGTCATGTACTGCATGAATATGGGGAAACATACCAACCTTTTTTGCAAGCCTTGTCATCACCTTTCTCTATGAATAAGTATCTGGGAGCTTCAGGAAGAAAAGGCAACACAATAACCTGAACCACTGAGAAAAACGCAGGGACACAGAGGACGATGTTCCACAGCTCCTCACGACCAAGGATCTGACTGAAAAAACAAAAATGAAGTGACAGATAGTTTAAATGTTTTTTAATGTAGAAACTTTAATCTTTATTTACACTTCTTAATGTTGAGTTGAAGCTCTTTTTGCACAATTCTCAAAATTCTAATTCATCTTCCTCCATTTAACTCTCCTGTTCATAAAAATTAATGAGAGACTGTGGCTTATCACTAATATTTTTTGCATTCAGTGTACATTGCGCTCTCATATCCTCTAAAATAATCAAAATTACTGCTGTCCCCTCATACATATTGACAGTGAGTGCATACCTAAGTCCAAAAACCTGTCCAGACAGTTTGCCAAGTGAGGCGAAGGTTGCAGAGGTCAGAGTCACTATGCCTCTTAATTTTCTGGGTGAAATCTCTCCCAGGTACATTAAATGGGTGCTCTGTCCCAAACCTGCAGGTCATGAGAGCGTATTAATCAGTCAGGTAAAAATACAATGTGTATTATGTTTCTCACAGGATATGGTTTACCTGCCGAGTAGCCATACAGGATCCTTGCCACAATAATCATTTCATATGATTTGGCACCTTTACTCGTCAGCATGAACCCTGCTGCAACAATGGCAATGAAGCTGTTGAAGATCATCGCCTTTTTTCTGATGAAGGAACACACATCATTTCAAGTCTCTTTAACCAATAGGACTGAATGCTGCGTCAAGTCTCTCTTACTCACCTTCCCAGCATGCCTGAGACAAATTTGACGCTGACGGCCCCAAAAACTCCCCCGACAGCATACATGGAAACAATAAGGGACCAGATCATCGTGATGGTCTGTGGAGGTGGAGGCTCTTCATATCTGTCGTACCAGCTGCTGTTGATGAAGCGCTGTATGTACTGCAGTGAAAGTGCAATTCTTACTCCTACTTTTCACATTCAAATAGGTTAGATTTGACAGAATTTGTCCCAAAACTGGGGTGGCAAGGCATTTCTTTCCCCCATGCGAACCCTCTGGATCTGCCCCTGGCAGTAACCAGAGGTTAGGAGTTTGAAGAGAGAGGAAGGTGGAGCAACAAGCAGGATGAATAGTGATGTATCTCACCGGTGAGGGAGAGCTCAGTCCAGTGATGTGGTAGCCACAATGAAAGCTTCCGCCAATTCCCAAAATGATGATGAGGATCAGAGCGTTACCCTGGGTCTGGGACAGAGCATGTTAATGAACATCGGTATAAGAATAACAGATGCTTAGTTAACAAGAACACTAATTTACATCCATAGACCCTAGGCAGGTAACGGAAACGACAACATACAGATACACAAATACAATACACAAGCAGAAAAAATACAAAATGAATACATTAAGTGATCACAGTTCTGATTTGATTAAGCCAAAGTTTGAGCTGGTTTTTAAAAGTGGGATATGTAGGACACTCCCTCATTGCAAGTGGAAGCCATTCCAATAGCTACCTTTGCTGACAGCACTGTTTGAAGTGAAACTAAGTTAAAGAAATATGATTTATGTAGAGAAAATCAAGTAATAAGTGTATGGTCTTTTTGTCATCATTTGTGGATTTTTTGAAGGATCAGCAGACTCATTCAAACACACTAATAATAGTGTTAGTTCAAGATATTTGACTCTTGATGAGCAAAAGGTAACTTCACACCGGTGGGAATGTACTTTTATCTGCAGATCCTAATCTGTAAGAGTAACATTGGTTGTATACCAGATCAGAAAGCATTTTGGTACAGTAGAGCAGCATTACATGTTCTGTAAAAAAGGGTGTTATTGTTATGAGGGAAATATAATTGTGTAAAATTACACACTAAACTGATAAGTAGCTTTTAAAATGAGCTCTTATCCTAATTGTTAAGGCCATCTTCAGGTTTAATGTTTATGCTGGAGATGAATACTGTCAACACCAATAATAAAATAACTCAGAAAGGAAACCTGTTTTGATCTTATATAAAGAATGCAATCTTAAAAGCATAGAGAATAAACAACTGTTTCAGGAGCTTGCATGCATGGTGTGGTTTTCGCAGATTATGATTTCTCCTATCCTCATTCAATATTTTACCAAAAATCCTACAAAAGATCATTAATTGTAGTTGAGATTACTCAGCTCTAAATGTACCATACTATTTTTTGCTCAGAATGACGAGTTTAAATAATAACTGACAAAGTGGAATGACTCAGCTGAAACTGTGCTTTAGATGAGTCACTGAGCTCCGACAAACTCAAAAACAACCTGATTGCCTAAAACTCCATGTTATTATGTTTTTCCTCCATTTTCCTTCTTAATGAATGCTTCTTGGAGCTAAAGTGTAATGTAGGTTTATATCGACAAAACAGCAATGTTGATAAAAGATTTTGACACAAACATATTTTCTTACTGTCCTGTGAACATTTATATCTACGTGTATAAAAAAGACACTGTCTTCTATGAAACAAATCCAGTAGAATTCAGTAAAAGCCTACCAGCTGCTGCAGCAAAGTTTCCATTCTGTCTTTGCTGGCATGGACCTTACGGCGCATATGTCCAGACTGCATGGACTGTTAAGTATTTTAGGCTGGTTATCATTAACTTTTCAGACTTTCTGACTAGAAATAATGTAACCAGCAAACTCTGACAACTGGATGTCACTGAGCAGTAATGGAACAAAGGACAGGCTTTGGTTACATACTATTATTTGGTTATGTGGGCTTAATGGGGTGCCATCCATGTACACTCAGTTTATGATTTACAAAAAAGACTGAAATCAGTCTTAATAGTGTAAATGCATAATCATATGATGTAGCTGAGCCATTTGGTTGACTGTACCATCAGCATATGTGGGTTTGTATGACATTAATGTCAAAGGATCACATGAGTGCTCTGGCATATTTCAGACCATTAATGTCAAATTATGTACATAACACTACTGCTGACCGTTCTCCGTAGCACACATTAAGTTTAGGCTCTTAAATGTATTTCTGCTGCAGACAATTTCTGTCTGTTCTTCTATTCTTCCCATTAAGGATCACATGGACGGTTGAATCCTATCCCAGCATGCATTTGTCAAAATACAGACTGACACCAAGTCCCAATTACGACATACTGATTCTAAGCAGGTTTTCACACATTTATATTTATTTTATTTTATTTTATTTTTTTATATAATCAGTATAAATAGGTCTATGTAAGTCTTTGGAAACATTTCTTTGTTGTATTTGTAATTGACATCCTTACTATGAAACATTAAGTATGATATTTATTATATAGCAATTGCAAAAACAGTAGGCAATATAACAAAGATGAGTACAGCCTCGTACATACTGTGTATAACCTACTGTACACTGTGTACGATTACTGTGTGGTACGGAATTTGGACAGGGGTGTTGTTCATACTCATGACCAGCAGGGGGCAGTGAACGATAACGTGGTCGTTAATGTCAGGCCGCCTCCGCTCTTGTCTCCCCTCGCAGACTGACGCTCCGCCGGAAGCAACAGTGTCCAGTGTTTTCCGTAGTCATCGTTGAGTAGCTGCTACACAAAGAAAGCCTTCACTTTGTACCGCTGGGTCTAGATTGTCTACTCAAAATGCCGCTAGAGAATCTGGAGGAAGAGGGTCTGCCCAAGAACCCCGACCTGAGGATAGCACAGCTGAAGTTTCTGCTCACAATGGACGGCCACCGACAGGACGCTAAAGTGAAGACTGAACTCATGGATGCGATCAAAGCTAACAGTGAGTTAGCACATCGTTGAGCTATGTGACCTGTTAGCGGCAGCCCTCGTAGCCTGCTCGCTGTATACACGGTGCTGCCTCAAGTAGACGCGCTAATGTTTTCACTGCATCGTTGTCTCAGACTTTCGGGCGAAATCCACAAGAGCCGAGCAGCACAGCGACGTTAGCACGTTAGCTCACTGTATTAGCAGCCGTCATCTAGCTAACGTTAGCCTGCAACGATCTGACGGACTGTTTGTTAAACTCCGCGTAACATCACCAAATATGCATTATATATATATGATGTATGTTCAAATTGTGCTTCATTTATATGGTCTTCTACTGGAATCTACAGCGGGCGAAATAAAAGAGGCTACACTAAGAAATAAAGTGTTATTATTTGGTATAAAATGAACCTAAACCCCGTGTGTAGGTTGAACAGTGGTGGTTTCTCTCTGCTGCAGATATGGCGCCGTACTACGAGGGGCTGTGTAAGGACCTGAAGTGGCAGCTGGACGGTGACCTGCTGAGTAAAATGAAGAAGGCCAACGAGGAGGAGCTGAAGCGGCTGGATGATGTGCTGGAGGATGCAGAGAAGAACCTGGGAGAGAGCGAGATACGAGACGCCATGATGGCCAAAGCTGAATATCTGATCAGAATTGGAGACAAGGTGAGTCCTCCTCAGTTAGGAACCACTGACAGTGTATATAAAGTTAGCACAGCAAACATCTGCGAGTAGGCCGTCTCTGGCACAG